TAACTTGCAGCCCATCGAAACCATCTACGACTGACTCTGCACACCTAGAAACGTCCGAAGACTCACCAGATCGGTCCCGATCCAAGACATCAACAACTGAATCCACCACTGATCACACTCACCTAACTCCTTCAAATGTGTTTTCACAGGGCTGTGCTGGGGCTGAACCTTTTCCGGCAATATCTTCTGAGCGTTCATCCATTTCTGCCACATTAGTTTTCCCCGCGTGTTAATTGTCCTGTGCCTGCGTCGTCTGTTTCATTCTCACCCCATGCACTGAGTCCGGATTCTTCTGCCGGAAAACTTTCCAAGGATTCTCTCGGTCTGTCTTGTTCTAAATCTACTCTGAGGTTCGGCGCACCCGTAGAAATATCAGAATCTTTTCCAGTTACGTCTACTTGCAAATCATCGGTGACTGTGTCTATGGGGAATTCCGACTCTTCACTTATCACTTCTCCCTACAGAATATCAATGTGTGGGCCTTCAACCCTCGAACATTCCAACGATTTGCCACTTAAGATCCTATCCGAATCCTCAACGACTGATTATACGCCTGCTGAGTCTCTCGAAACTTCATCATTAAGGAGTCCTCTAAAATTTCTAAAATCTAAGTCAACAGCCTTTGCAACTTCTACAAGTTCACCCGCTTCACCGCATAATCCCTCAATTTCAGAAGGCGTGAAATCAACCATCGAGAATAATTTATCTTCAATTCAGGCAAGGCAGTATAGGGGTGAGCTGATTATGAGCGGCATTGCTAACAGCCCTGGTACAGAGACACGCCGTTCTAAGTCGAGTGTGGAGAATCCATTGCGGCAGAAAGAGGCTCGCCAACTTATTGAACATATTCTATCCTCATCGGAACAGACAGAGGAAATGCGAACTACAGAGGATCAGGCGACTGTGTTCTCGGGCTTAAAGTTCACAATGGATTATCCCTCCAAGGAGACCGAGCGTCACAAGACCAACTCTCTGATTGACGTCCTGAAGATGGAAAAAGATGTTTCCCATGGTTCTAATGATTCGTCGGCAGCACACTCTCACGAGTCAACATCCAAGTCATCAGATGTAGAACTTACTGACAAGGCACTTCACCAGGGGCCCGAAAACACAGAATCACGTGAAGTGCTCATGTCTGCACTGGCCAAGTCCATCAAACATAAAAACACTGAGTCGCACTCCGAACACCAATTGGCCGAGAGCCGGACGACTGCTGCAGAAGATAATGATGACAAAGTTACTCAGGAGAAGGTAACTGCTGTCAGCGAAAAGTCGGATAAGGTGCAGCCCACTGAGAAGGAACTGGAATCGGTTCTGGCTAAGGCCATCATCAGTAAGGAGCATGAAATCCATGAACGGAAAGAACTGGTTGCAACTTTAACAAACGCCATTGCAAAGGAAGAGCAGAAGCTTCATCCGGAAAGGACACACAACACAGTTGAGAGTGGATTTCAACCTGAAAACGAAGACTGAATGTCCAAACATCTAGAATAAGCCGTTGTTCCCGCTCCTGCATTGGTTTAACTGCGGTCGAATAACGTTCCCGAGGGATGACGTCTTCACGTGATTCTGCCCTTAATGAAATTTCTTTATGTTTGCAATATTTACGCTTTTTATCATTTGTCTAAAAGTCAAGGTATTTAATTAAAAATAAGACACTCTTGTTTACACTACCACATCAAATGCTTTTTTGTGTTAACGGACCTTGTCAGATTAATATAAATGCAATATTTTTCAGCACATACTGCATAATTTTGCTTGCCGAATAGCCATTCAGGGAGCTTCGTTAGGGTTTGCATAGGCCAATTGGTTTGCAAGACACTTTCTCCATCAGGTATGAATAGATCATTATACTGCTTGTAATGGGGGCTCGTGTCGTTCATGATTATTGCAGGGGATATAAAAGGTCTTGTGCAGTGTTAGGCTAAGCTGACAATCATATCGGTGTCTCAATGTTTTTAATGATTTCAAACGTGTCTGCAATCGAAATAACCCCTCGTTAGACCCCGACAATTGGAGAAAACACAATTTTCTGCCAGCTGTGCTTGATTTTCTATGAACACAATGAGTAAATGGCTGAAGCTTGTGATGAGACTGCCCCTTAGCTCCTCCACTAAGAAATGAACTGCCCTCCCCAATTTTGAATGCGAACTGCTATTCGGTCTCGTGATAAAGCAACGGCAATCTTGCGTAGAGTGAGCTGACGGAGCATAAAGTGCCAACTTCCTAGCTCAAATCCTATAATATTTCGGACTCGGTAGAATGTCTGCTATAGAATGCACGTCTTTTCAATGTCGTATAAAATCCGTACTCGGCCAAAAATGACTGCTTAAACAGCGCGCATTGTCCACATTGTCTTTCTGTGGTCTTATAAATTCAAATATATTTTATAAAAGCCTTAAGCAAAAATATCTCTCTTTTACTCGTTTGATAGAGAATTACGTCCTTTTCATATTTTATGCTCGATGACGGAGCATAATGGGGTTTTAAGAAAAGTTTCTAATTCCGGATAACTTGGAGCCTGGTTAGGCGTTGCATTAGTGCATATTGATTCCAATCTACAAGGTGCATGCGTTCCGCGCAAGAAGAATCATACAATCTTCTATGCCTTTAAAAAGAAACCATTAAGTGTTCATTAAATTTTGCAGTGAATGTGGACCATGTTCTACATTTCATGATGAGCAGTGGTAAACGAAAAGGTACGATGCTGTATGAATGGACATTGCGCGGTCTCAAAAATATCATAATTGGAAATTTTTTAAAACCATATTATACTCCATCATCGAGTATAAAATACGAAATGGACGTAATTCTCTATCAACCGAATAAAAGAATGCACATTTTTGCTCATGCTTTTTATAAAATATATTTGAATCTATAAGACCGCCGAAAATCAGTGTGAAGAACGCATGCTGTTTAAGGAGTTATTTTTCATTGTGTGCGGATTTTATAGGAGACTGAAAAGAAGTGTATTCAGAAGCAGACGTCCTACCGAATCCGAAATATTATAGGATTATGCCACAAGACTATACGTATTAGAACCCTGCCCAAGTAATCCTTCCTATCCGGAAACGCAATTCGAAATTTTGGCTAATATCTCATGAGATCGGTCACTTACTATATACATATGATAATGGAAACAAGCAAGTTTCCGAAGCGTCAGCACCAGTACAGTGTTGTCAATGGAATCGGCTACTTTTCTTCTTCGTCTTCTTCTGAGGATGATTAGCGAGATACTTTATCTGGACATCGAATTTTTACCATTACGAGAAGGGAAGCGTTGGCCGTAAAAGCCAGTGATGTCGCGATGACGCGTTTCTACGGCCTACCAAAGGTCCACAAGCAGGGAATGCCGCTACGCCGCATCGTCTCCTTACGTATTACCCCAACATTTGGGTTGTCAAAGTGGCTGAACAAGCCACTTTGTTTCCTTACCAAGGATTCAGAGTGGACAGTGAAGTCGGCTGAAAAGTTTTGTCGCGCATCAAACGTTTCGAAGTGGAGGCAGATGAAGTGATGGTGTCTTTTGACGTGATCTCATTGTTCACCTCCATCCTACCCGCGCTGGCTATCGACACTATTGATGGTTTTCTCCGAGAAAAGTATGATGAGACTGACCAACAGCTCAAACAAGCCCACATCATCGAGCTTTTAGAATTGTGTCTTAAGACCTCCTTTACATTCAACTGCCAAGTCTACGGGCAAAAGAAGGGGACGCCGATGGGCTCGCCTCTGTCTGGACTAATTGCCGAAGCAGTTTTGCAGAGGTTCAAGCAGCTGGTCTTCAGCTCGTACCCCCCGAATTTCTGGGCCAGATACGTCGGCGGCACCTTCGTTGTAATCAAGAGGTGCGAGGTGAAGGCATTCAAGGCATTGTTTAACTCAATCTTTCCCGACATTCATTTTACTATGGAAGAGCAAGTCAACAATCAGTTGCCCTTCCTGGACGTACGAGTTACAAAATTGACGGACGGGAAGATAACGACAACGGTTTACCGTAAGGCAACAAATACTAGGCGCTAACTCCACTTCCGAAGCAGCCACCCTGTTGGTCATAAACGCAGTTGTGTCAGAACTCGCTTTCAACGTGTTCAAACACCCCGTAGCGACGACAGTGAGAGGAAGGAGGAGGTGAATTACTTACAGGCCCTTTTTAAAGCCAACGGCTACCCGAAGTCCTTCATAGGCAATTGCCTCGAAAAGCCTCATTTTGAACGGTCATTTGGAGAAAAGCCCAAGTTCTGGCTCTCAATACTTTATGTGAAGAATGTATCAGAGGCAACGACGAGAATCTTGAAACCTTTTGGGATTGGCGCGACTCATAAACCAGAATGCAACATCAGACAGCAAATCATGAAGCCCAAAGACCTGCTGCTAAAAACAGAACAGTCGGCGGTGGTTTACAGCATATCATGCCTAAATTGCAATGCGAGGGACGTTGGTGAAACGGGAAAACGCCTCGGTACAAGATTGCACGAACGCCAACTTGCAATCAACCGCAAGGACAAGCTGCCTTTGGTCTATGGCCTCATACGAGAACTGAACCACGATTTGGTCTTTGAGAAAGCGAGGGAAATTGATCGGGCCAATTAGAAGATGACCAGACTGGTGCTCGAAAGTTGGTCCTCGACCGGCACACTCAATTAAGCTATAGATCTACATCTCGCCTATCAGGCGCTGAGTACAAGTCCCGGCTCTGTCCGAACAGGACCAATAAGACAAGCAAGCACGCGGGACCGAGAGTCAACGCTCACGGAGAAGAGCGGAGTTGGGGACTAGAGGTCATGTGACTAAAGCCAAACACTGTCTCACCGATACACCCGCGAAGTTGAATGTTGCTCACATGAATAGCAGCGACCAATCAGTACGCCGGCTGACGTGGAAGAGGCCAACAGGCACGTTGATTTGACTACAATTACGCCGTCACACCTGGCTCGGATCCTACGGAGTGGCAGTGCCATAAGGCCACATTAAGAAGAAGCCATTTCGGCCTGACTTCTAGACCACCAGTCGTCCGCTCCACACAAGCGCATGGCCGACTGCTAGGTCCAAGTTATCCCGTCAGTTGGCAACAGTCCAGGCCACGGCTTTTAGCACACCGTAATGGCTTCGAGCGCGGCAGAATGCCTATAGTGACGAAACTACGCCGAGTCCTCGACCTCACTCTCCCTTCCCAGGCCCCAATTACTGTCTCAGTCGGTCAGTTGACAGGCGCGGGGAATGGGTGCTGTGGCTTGCATATCTAGTGACCTTGTCTGCGCGTGCAACGCGCACGACTTGGCTCCCCAAACAGGAGCACTAGGAATTTACACAACGGGGGTTGGGCGGCGCAAATCTTACGTGTGTGAGAGTGCCGTAGATCGAGTTAAGAAGGAACCAGTTTGCACGACTTCTGTCGGCAACCGCGCCTGCCACCGCACCCCGAGATGTTGGCATTTGTTATTGAACGCCTGTCAGAATCAGACTTGTCCTGCGCGTCCACCACACGACCCCTTTAGGCAGCACGATATCACATTTAAAGTCCAAATTTGAAAAAAACCCTGAGAAATGAGGTAATTCTACAACTGTGAGACAGCTGTAGTTAAGGCACACAATGATGGTGTTACGGAAATCGCTCATCCCATTTTCCCTTGGAACCCTCTCTCTCTCTCGGACCCACACCTCGGGGTTGAGTACGACTGGCTGACGACGGCTAATAAGCCAGAAATAGCCATTTCGGTCTCCCTTCCCTTTTCCAGTAATGTCATTCTGGTAGACGTCTGTCTTCTGATCATTCCTTGTCTGGCTAAACCATTTTATGCTGCCATCCCGCGAAAGTAGATACTTTTATTTTATTCACTCATGGCAAAGACAGGTGAATTTAAATTATGGGGCAGATTGCGTTTTTTGCATCACCAAATGCCTCGAACAAAAACTGTGTGAATTTAATTTCAGACTTTCTGCAGGTTTTTTTAAAAATGTGAACGCAGACGGCTGAATTCTAGAACCCCTGTCGGCCTTCAGAATATTCTTACTTTCTTATAAAGTGTCTCTCTCCGTATTGTTAGGATGACCAAGAATTCGAATCTGTGACCTGATACATCAACTAGGTTTCCAAAAGCTGCTGACTTCTGCCTGCGAACCGCTTGTCCCAGCACCATTACAACGTTTCTAGTTCACTCAAAGTTCACAGAATTAACTGCCGCGGACGTCAACACACGCCAGTTACAGAGTGGCCTAAGGAACAATGGTGGAACATTCGGATCTGCTGGAGGGATGGTTTCATGTGATTACTGGACTTAAAGGCAGGCGACTCACTTCGCCCTTTGGCTCACAGGTTTACTGATGAATGACTATGCTAGAGGGTACACGAAGCCCTGTTAAATGACTACCAACATTCACCACGTCATAAATTACCTACGGCTTGTGACGCTGATAAACTTACCAATCTATCTTAGCAGAGTCCATAGCCACGTCTGTAGACAATACCAGTG